ATCTTCCAACCTGCAGCAGCATAAGCAACTGGGAAGCATGATGGATATTTCAAAATCAGAGCAATTTCTGGAAGTGACAGCAAAAGGGGGAACATGCATTCAAATTCAACAGCAAACGGTGGAAATAAGGAATATATCTGACGTGAAAGAGTTGGTTCTTAAACATAGTCCAAGTTCTTGTGTATGTATGATTGGTCGCCAGTGGTTCGGGACAATCAGTATCTTTAGTTGATGGGGCAAGAGCCGGAATTGTATAACTGTCGTAAGTGTGCCGATTTGACAAGTAGCATCCTGAAAATTTGACCAGTAAGAGACACGGGATAACCATCTTAACTAAATTAATTGGCACCAAGTCAATGACTAAATAAATTGTACATAACAGTAGTTTGCCTGCACTCATGACAGGGGCAATGCTTGTTACTTGTTGAAACTTGTTGAAGGGCAAAAAAAAATTGTAATTATAATAGGAATCCTTTCTTCACTTTGCAAGGAACGAAGCGGATACGGACCTGACTACTAATAGCTGTGTTTCTCACATTTTTACCGAATAGCGAAGCCTCGCATAATGTTATACGAGTGGAGGTTAGGATGCCATAGTGAGACATCCGCTTCAGTGTCTTACTACCTGCTTGCCAATGCAATGTCTTTCGCATCAGCATGTCTCTCAAGACAGTCGTTTTCCACATGGCACGTCTTTACAGTCATTATCAGGTTTCCAGATGTGAGCTAGCTATGTCCTCTGGCCTGAAGACGCGTAACGCCTTTTCGACGTTAAGGATGACAGTGGATCTCTACATGGGCCGATTTTTCGGAACCCAATCCGTTCTAAGTCTTAGCTTGCACTCGACCCCACCCGAGAAAAAATCATTTCAACCCATGCTTTCTAGTTTACTTCCTCGTTCACGTTTGGCAGGCAAAAAAAAAAAAACAAAAGGGGGGGGGGAGGGATTTTCGGCTGCCTTTGGGTTTAATGATGTTCGACTTTCTTCAGTCACGTGACCGGTCACGCCGAATTTGAGCATACTNGCAAAAAAAAAAAAAACAAAAGGGGGGGGGGAGGGATTGTCGGCTGCCTTTGGGTTTAATGATGTTCGACTTTCTTCAGTCACGTGACCGGTCACGCCGAATTTGAGCATACTGAATACGCAATACAAGCCCGATTTCAGTTTTTTCTTAATCTTCTCCACATCTTCGACCTCTTCGGAAGTCTCGCTTTGGAATGACTCGAAAACCATAATTGAACCCTGTTGGGCGAGGAAAATATGTTGTACCACTGGCATTTCCATACCATGTTTATGAAAGGGGATATACTGTATATCTCGCATGAAATCTTTCCTGTTTGAACAGAAGCCAGACAGCATCACGTCTAAATGGCCTTGCTTCAAGGTAACTGCTCCCTTCCCGTCTCAGATTCTGTTGATCTTTATTTACTTTCGCGGATATATATTGATTCAGACAAAATGTCATTCCTTGACGTAGACAAAAGGCATTAACATATTCCAGTCCTGACAGAATATCCACGGTTCCATCCCTGAGACAAGATTTGAAATGAAAAGTATGAGAAAATTTCGACCCGGCCCGAATTGAAGAGAGACCTTAGGAATTTCGACTCGAAACGGATGGCCTGGTCGAACCAATCGGACCGACCCACACTCTGTACAGGACTTTAGTTGACAGGAATTTTATTGAAGTTCAACTTGAAAATTAAAAGCAGCTAAAAGCCACCCCTGTTTAGTTCTAGCAGCACATTTAGCTGGACTTCTTTTAAGTCGGGCCAGATTTAAGTTGGCATTTTTTCATAGGTACGCTCCTTAGAATCCATTCCGAAGCAAGAAAAACTTTTTGTATCGTTTCCTTTACACTCAAGATGATAAGCTGAAAACCCCTAAACAGCAATATTGTATTTTGAATGATGCCAGGAATGGGGTTTTTGTGCAGGGTGCCTCTTGCTCCTGACCCTGTTGACGGATCTTTGCCGGGCCGGAAACGAGACGGAGGGAGGAGGGACGACGAAGATGAATCTCTGCGCCCTTCAGCAGGCCGTCCCAGATCCCAGTGACCTTCGAATGGTGTGTTATTGTGATGTGTTCAGCCCGGAATCCTTCGATGCCACAGATGTGGACTGCTGGGTGATCGGGCGGATCGAACCCGGTGACCCCGTGTGGGGGTATTTCCGCGATCAACAGAGCGTCCAGGTATTGAGAGTGCACCTGAGGATGGACGGGCAGCTGACGTTTCTGCCCAGCAAAGCCTGGCGGGGATTGGGAAAGCTTCGAGATCTCACCATCAGCAATGCCAACATCTCCGTCGTGGAAGGTGGATCGTTTTTGGACATGGAAAGCGTTAAGAAGATTTCTCTGAGGCGGAACGAGTTCCAGGTCCTTCAACCTGAAGCATTCTTCAATCTTCCACTACTGCAGGTCTTGGATATGGGAGAAAATAAGATCGAGAGACTGGAAGCAGGGATTTTCCAGGAAATGCCGACTTTGAAGGACCTGTACTTAGACCGGAATGAGATCCAGGAAGTCCAGGATTTGAGTTTTCAACACTTGGGGGCTCTGAAAGAGCTGGATCTATGGAAGAACAAGATTAAGATTCTGACATCGAAGGCGTTCGTGGGACTTCGTAATTTGACCCGGCTTGACCTTCGCGACAATCTCATCGAATTTCTCAACAACTTCACCTTCCACGACCTGGAGAGCCTCGAGACGTTGAACCTCATGGGGAATCGGGTGAGGTTCATAGACGACGATGCCTTTGCCGGACTTGCAAACCTCTACGAGCTGAACTTGAAAGACAACAAATTGATAAACCTGGGCGGAGAGGTGTTCCTTACTACGCCCAAACTCGTCTCCTTGGACCTGAGGCAGAACGTGCTGGAAACCCTGACAGAGCGGACCATGGCACCCCTTCGCAGCAATTTACTTAAGGCCTTTGCCGGGCTGGAGTTGGCAGGTAAGGGTAAAGGAGTGAAAGGAGGCGTGCTAATTCCGCATCTTTCCTTATTTTGAAGGATTCGTGTGAGAACAGTGTTGACTTTTGTTTCCTAACTTGGGCTTAGCGAGAATCGATGAGACCCGGCTGCCGTTCCCGTTGACGGATCCCCCCCCCCCCCCTCCCCCCGAATGACTCACGAATCCACTTCAATTACTGCTTAGGAGGACTAATGATAGATTAGGGTAAAGCACCCAGAAGAATTTTAACGAATGCCTCTTCTCCCCTTCTCATTCTGTCATCTCTACCCCGAACAAGACACTTGACCTCTCGTGAACCTCGTAACGACAAAATGGCTTGGCACGACGACCTGGTCTCATTGGGCGTACTTTGTAGGCGGTCACACACATATCCGTCTGAGACAGTGAGAGGGAGGAAACGAGGCTTGAAATTACAACCCCGAATACGAGCACGAGGTTTCCATTCACTCGAAGCACCCCCCTCTCCCCCTCCCCCCCTCATGTCTCGTGCCGTTGCTGTTCCGGAAGTCCATATATCAACTGAGATGGAAGGCGTTGCCGCCACGCCCGTTTTACCAAGTGATATTCTCTCCTCGTAGGGCTAATAGTCACCCGCCATAGGTTTCTAAAATCTTAAGAGTCGCGTCGACGGGATGTATCGAATGACTGGTATTAATCTTAATCATTGCGGATGATAAATGCGGCTTGGAGACAGCTGTTCTTTTCGTCAACGGCAACCTCTCTCAACGCTTCTCTCTTTCTCCCCTCCTCGCTATGAATAGTTTTCAGCCGAATTCTGGGACTTTTTGAGCTTAGAGGAAACAGCGCAGAAAACCTAACACATTATTTAAAGAAGGGGATTGAATGTCTTTTGCAATGGAGTCTGAAGATATGAAGAGAGAATGTAGTCTCTCCACGTACAGACGAAACGGCATTTCAAAACCTCCACTCAGGCAGCAGGCGTCGGAAAAAAATGCGGAAACAGACATTTTCTCCTTACCTGAACTGCCCTTTAGCATGAGTTTGTGTACGTTTCTTTTAATAACAAACAGACTTTCTTTCATTGTTTCTTTTACTGATGGTCTTTTCTTCTTCTTTTACTTAAGCTGGGAACCCTCTATCTAGCGTAGCGTTTTCGTTTTCTCGTCGACGATCCATGGTTATTTCCACTTTCAGGAAACAATCTCTTGTGCGACTGTCGGCTGTCATGGGTGTATGAGCTGCTGACGGAATCCGAGAGCAGCATCCTCAACTCGTCCCTCTCCTCCATCCATTGCTACCTTGACCCAGACTACGACAACGTGATCAAGAAGGACGGGAAACACGGCTATCCCGTGTACGAGACGACCACCTACGTTCTTGGGGTCCAGGTCACCCTGCTTCTCATCCCGAAGGATCGCCTCCCCTGCCCGGCTCTTCTCGGGGCAAGCACGACCAGGTCTACCGAGGCGGTCATCGGTAGTGACAGTACTTCTCCCAGTACCAGCCCCCCCGGTCGAGGTACGGAAGCACCGAATCCGGGAGCAAGTATTATGGAATCCCTCGCTAACAAAACTGCCTCCACAAATTTTCTTCAAGTCATCCTCGTTTGCTTCATGATGTCGGCTGTGGCATTTGCACAAGTCTGATTGCGACAAGAGAGAAAAGCGATGGAGGGAAAAGGTGTACGCGTGTCTTTTCTCTCTCTGTTTCTCACTGCCAAGAAAACTGGATTTCTTCCAAGATTTCTTTCCCGGACCAGAGCGCGGCATCTGTCTACCGATGAATGTTTTACTCTGACACGTTCCACCGCATCGATGAGCTCATAATTCCTTCTTTCTTATTCCCCTCCCTCCTCGCGTCTCCGGTAGCAAGGGCGTGCGTCACCTGGCCCCGGAAGATGCGTCGTCTTCGGTTGTCACCTTCAATGAATGATTACGTCGTCGCCACGTGCTTCTGTGCGTGGAAGATCTCACTACTGGCTGAATCAAGAGAGAGATAAAAAAAATTCCCTCACGTGCAGCATCTCTGCTGTGATAACGTAAGAGTCGAATCTACGGTCTCCATGACAGGTGCCCTTATACAGTATCTATAGATAATAAAAGGATGAGACAGTGTGACCAGCTGGTTTCAATGTAATTTCCTCCGATTGGCTCCCTTCTCTTCCCTATAATAATACAGTGGATGAAAAAAAAAGCCAAGCAAGCAACGTAATTTTTCTCTAGATCTTACCGTTGCACAGGAATGGAAACGGATAAATTTTGCCTTAAGAAAGGCACTTCACTTTAGAATAGTACGCACACTTTTATTTTCGTAAGAAGGCGGGTTTCTTTTGCAAGTTGCAAGGTGATGATCCGCAACGACACCCTGAACAGAAGACTATTACATGAGCTAGTAGTGCAAGGGTAGAAAAAGAACTGCTCGTGCTTGCTCTCGCTCCCCACCCAATCCAGGATGATAGAGGAAATTTGGTAAGTGCAAATTTTAATGATCGACAATGTCGTAGAATGAGTATACTGCAAACTTTGTCCTTCTGTCTTGTAGAAGATGCATCATTTCTCCTGACATTTGTTCACATTGGTGATTGCATTTGAAAATTATGAAGAAACTTGACCACTGACCATGAGATCCTACAAACTACAGTAGAATGTGCTTTTTTTACGGCAATTTTTACTATTGCAGGCGCAAGAGAATGGATAGCAAAGGCAACTTTAGTTTTTTTTTATCCACTCTATATTTTTTCATTTTTCAGGGTTTTAGGAAAGATGTGGTTTAGGCCACTATCGCCGATGAAAGCGGTTGGAGACATTCCTTTACAGTGACACCGTGATCAGTACAATCGACTGGAATACTCCTGGGGCCAGTGAACTTAATTCGATGATCCGGAGTATTCCAATAACCGAAATAATCGTGCTGTAATATTTATTTGTACTTCATGAATGATGACGTACGGTACCCGTTTGCGCGCATTCGTCATTATTTAAAATGCGAATAACATTTTTCCGCACTCGTCGTTTATTTTTTAAATTTCTTGTAATTTTTCTAAGTTTTTGTACATTCGTATTTTTCTATTTCCTTCTGTACATTAGTCTTTATTCGTTCTGATGGGTATTCAGTACTGCAATCTTATAAGCCAAGCTGAGGTCTTTCCATTTCCCAATGCTCAAATCGGAATGTGCAGATGTGTTGATTATAAGCTCTATTTTATTGTCCAGGTAAACTTGCTTTAACAATTACCTGAAAGAGGTAGACTTTGCCAGGTTCCCACATCTCCAGCCTATATTTGCACTCCAATTTATTAGAAAGGGTGTGCTTACATTCCCTCCTGCCCCCGCCCTCGGTTCATGAAAAATTCAAATGGAAGTTTCTCATGACCCTAGTTCCACGGGGCGAGGGTGGGGCTGGAGGGACGGGACCAGTGGGGACTTTGGGAACTTTCTGAGAACGTAGAAGAGGCAAATTACACTTTTTTCAGCTATTGAAAAAATTATTTCACTTTCTCGAAAAATGTATTCCTTTAAGTGATGTTTTTCACAATACATCTGGTTAAAAAGAGGACCGCGCAATGGTATTCTAATAAGCAGAGCCGCCTGACTAACAACTGTCCAGCACTAACAGCCGACTAATAACGGTCTGACATAGGCTAGTTTGGACGAACCAGGCCCGATCTAAAACCCCGTCGTCAACCATATCACCGCCAGACTCAACTGGACGAGATGTCTTGGAATTGCGGCCTAAAACGGCCCGCGGTTGGGGTCGGGTCGGCCAATCGGGCCAGCCTGTGCCAGACTCAGAATGAACGTAGCAAACCATGCATCAGGGCATGAAAGGTCGTACTTGTTTTCGAAATTGCATTAGTGGATAAGTGCAACTTTCCTGAAAATGTTTTTTTTTTTTCATTATTAATCCCATTAGCCTTAATGCTCAGTCTCGAACGATTTGGAATAGGAGGCTATGAACGAGCCTTTCATCGTTTGAATTGCAAGTTTAACCCTTTAGCTGCTGAGTCTTAAAGTGGATTCCGAACTTTTTTTTGTCGGGTTTTATTCTATCATTTTCTATTATTTGTTCCCGGGAATATATATTAAACGTTCATAAAAATTATTAGAGTATGTTGCGAAGGTGAAGCACTATTGAAACCTTTGATTCCCTTAGAATACGTCAATTCATTGAGCCCCTTCGAATTCGTAAGGCAATGGAAGGAAGCGGTTCTACTAAGACGATTTCTCGCAGCACCACCAAGTTTCGAATCAAGTGAGAACTGTCTTTAGCCATTTATTATTTTTTATTATCCCAAAATAAGATATTTTCTCAATTCTGGTATGTGTTTAACGACCAAAAAAAACACCCTCATTTTACTGTGGGAGATAAAGAGATCTCAAGTTTTGTTTTGTTTTTTTCCTTTTTTAAACGCCACTTAGACAGGACTGAACGAGTGTACTTGGGTGGGATTGGCAGCTCCTCTTAGCAGAAGTGCCAAGGGATTTCTAGATTCTTGGCAATCCAGCTGTAACTCAAGGCCAAAATGGATCCATCACTCTCTCTTCAGTTTACTCCCACACATCAGGAAGGTGGACTTTCTTTTCTTTACCGTCTCACAGAGAGAGAAAAATGAAACACCAAATCATAGGATTCAAGTTTCTTCAATCCAGAAATTGCATCAATGATTGATGATGATAACTTTTCTAGATCACTGATGGGGATCTGGAGTTCTTGAGGAAGCTCTCCTGTTTCTGCTTTTGTGTGCTGTTGCTGTGAAGGAAAACGAATTTAGAATTCAGAACCAGTACCTTGAAATCTGAAGCACAACCTCAAACAAAAGCACATGAAATGTTGACATATTTGCCTCTTTTATAATAAAACAGTAAATTTCCATATACATAGTCAGGAAAAGCACATCATGAAAGTAGTGCATTATTTGTATAAAAAAATTTGTTCGCTTTGTTCCACAAGGCTGAATAGTCATTCAAGTGACACAAGGGGCAATTTAACAACTATGCATTATGGAGTGTGCTTGAGGAATATGGGAGTGAAAGGACAGTTGTCTGTTGACGAGCTCAGCAACTTTGTGTTGTGTGCAGAAACAAAAAGTGTTACTGAATCTCAGAGGCAATTGGATGTCTTATTTCATCAAATGCTGGGCTCTTGCATGAACCATTGAGTGCAAATGACAATCAAAGACAATGTAAAATAGTTCTTTCACTGTTTCTTCATTTCCTTCAATTGTGAATGCAAACTCAGGAGTTCCTGTTCTGTTCCATGCAGCAACCCAGCATTTGTTAAAAGTAGCATAGAGTCACTTCTGAGCTTCAGTAAAAAATTTGGTTTCAGCAAATCACACAACCTTAAGCACTCTTTAACTGTTTCAACTTCTGACCCCATTTTTCTCAAGACCATGTAACAATACAGAGTTGTCAGCCAGACCTAGCATTACTAAGCTGATGCTACTAAGTTGGAACTTGGCAAAAAAACTCCAAAAATAGTTATTTTTCAAGAGGTGCATATGCCAACAACATGTACAGAAAGTTACTGTTATAACAGAAAAAACAAATGTGTCTTTTCTTCATGGGTTACCTCATACAAATTTAGCTTCATCTCTCCAAGGAACCACTTGTGAAATGCTTCTACAATAATAAGGTAGTGCTGAAGAGGTGAAAACTGACCTTGACCCTTGAAATAAGCCCCTGGATGGACAACTTGGCTGAGCTCAATTGAGAAAGACTTTGGGTTTTGTTGGACCATTGGGATGCAACTGATTCCACACCTGGAAATTAAGAAACAGTCATCAGAATTCATGACTACAATCCAGTAAACCTGAAGAGGAAGCTGTAAATCAATGTATGAAGGCCACCTCTGAGGAAAAGAATATAATTCAAATACAAGGGTTTTTCAGATGAATCTAAAAAAAAACTGCCATGAAAGCTGTGGTTGTGTTAGACATATCCTGCTAATTCAGGTCTGGTTAGGGAGTGCATTTCTGCATCTGCACACAGTTCGGTTATCTAGCTGTACATACTATCCTGTGCTGTGTCAAATGGGAATGTGGATGTGATAGCAAGCATGTCCAAAGAAGAGTACTAGAAGTACAACTCAATTTCTAGAGGTAGATGTCACAAACACAGATAAAATCTATTGGTGATTGTGTGCAGTATATGATGAGAGCTGTTTGCCACTATTCCCTTATGTATGCTCAGTGCCAATGCTTTAGACTGGGTGGGGAAAGTGTGAAACACCTCTAATAGCCAGGCCAGGCCTTAGACATCACCAATGACAATGTTATGAGTTGACAGTCAAGTCAAGGACAACTAATGGGTTTCCTTGAAAACATCTTGTGAGCAGGTGCCTATGAACATCAGATCCATCTAAATCCTTGTCCATGACTGCTTGGGTTGTTGGATGATGCAGTCACACTATGCTGTGAAGCAGTCCCATCAAAAGTTGAGGCATCCTGAAAGCATCCTCTCAAAAGTTGTGGCATCAATCATACACCAAGGAATATCACAAAAACCCTCACCACACACTACAAACTATTTGCCCTTTCCACTGTGGCATCCTACATGGCCAGCAGCCTCACCAGCTCTGGTTGGTTTTGCAGTGAAATTTGCCTGTTGCATGCTTAATCAAAACATGAAAAAAACACAAATGGTACAGAAACAAACACTTTACTCACTTCTGTGATGTTTAGAAATACTTCTAATGTCTGATGTTTTCCGAGCAACAGAGTGGAACTGGTAAAGTGCAATGTTGGATCATATCCAACAACAGAGAGGAAGAGTTAACCAATCACAATTTCTGTCTCCAGAAACTGAATCACACTTCCCTGCTCTACTTTGGATGTGCCTATTCACACATCTATCATTTACATCTGGCTACAGAATGATGTATCACATGCAGCCAGTGTATCCACAATCTGTGAAGATGCAGAAATCCATTCCCTAACTTCTCAAAATGCAAGATGTTGCCAACATAACTGTGTCTTCCACAGCAGTTTTCCTAGTTTCATTTGAAACTTAAATAGAGAATTGTTTCTCTCTCCTTGTGACTTTGGCTATTGTTAGGCCCTACTGCATTACAATACTTGAATGACACCAGAGCTGAGAGTTAGGAGGGTAATAAGTACCTTGGCCAAGTTCTTCTGCAAATGAAATTGTCTGCAAGGTGGATGGTATATCTGACAAGACATTGGGTCTTTGAAGTTGAGAATGCAATGCCTTTGAAAGATACTGCATGGATCTCTGCTGAGTTTCTTCTGTCTTATCAACTTTCATGCTCAGGAGTCGAGAATAGATCAACCATAGCATGGGCTCTGCTGTCACCTATTAAGGGCACAGTACACCAAGATGACCATATTCAATCATTTTGAAAAGTTAAATATTCTAATGAATGAATTATCATAATGCAAAAAAAATTATGGGAAAAAACATAACTTTTGACTGTAAAGAGTAAACATACTTGACTGGTGATGCGACCAAGAAGTTTGATAGCCTTTTCAAGCGGAGAATGAATATCATTATTGCTCCTCATATCCAAAAGGTGGTCTACTGCTTTGGCAAGGATTGCAACATTAACATGTCGATCTTTGAGATCAAGAAGACGATTCTGAGCCTCAAAAACCTGTACAATAAAAAACAGAATTAGTACCAACATAAGTAAATACATACAATACATAGAAAGCCAACAAGAAACAAAAGAAAAGGAGAAGACAAACCTCACTGAGATGTCCAGATTGTAGACTGACCCACATGAAGTTATCCCAGATGTGCCAGTCATCATAACAGCATCGAATTGCCTCCTGCAAAGTCTTCCAGGCTCGTTCTGCCTGTCCCAGATTCATGTACGCCTTGCTCAGATTATTCCAGGCCTGGAAGTTCTGAATAAATAAATAAATAAATAAATAAATAAATAAATAAAATGAAATTCATCCTTATTGACTCTTAATACTTAGAGCAAGATGGGAAGATTATTGAGATTGGTCATACATCATATTCTATAGTGACACACATCCGATAGGCTGAAGCTGCCACTTCCCACTTGCTGGTCTCCAAGGCAGCAAAAGCCAGCCTCATCCAGACTTCTACTTGCAGGCTATTTACTTGCAGACTATCTTGGAAGGGTTTGATGCACTCTTCATACTGTGAAAGATGCACCACAGGATCCAAATGTTACATGCTACAAAACCCAAGGAGAAAATGATGCAGATTAAACAATACCTTATTCTTTTTAAAAAACAGGAGGCCTATGGATCTCTTGGCTCTAGCATAATGGCCTTCAGACACTTTCCATGCTTCTTCATAACACTGGATGTCATTAGTTGCATCCCCAAGAATGCACCAGTGTTTTGGACTTGGATCCTTTTCCACAAGGTCTCTGGCTATCTCTTCAGCTTTGTCTCTCCTCTGTTGAAGGTAGTAGCAGGCCAGGATGTCCTCCCACAGTTTCAGAGGTAGGAAGATGTCCAATGCACTTTTTACTGCTCCAACATTCATGAGACTCTGACCCAGCTTTCTCTGCAGGAAAATCACTTAATTTGAACAGAATGTCATCTGGCAAGAACAAATCCTTGAGATCTGAGGATATGATGTAAAAAAACACCATACCTGGAGATTCCATACAGTTGGAATGCGACATTGGAAGAAATACCTAAGGCGATCTTGTGGAGGTGGTTCTTCTCGATTCACAGCATCTGCCAATTCCTACAATGTCAGAGTAATGTTAAAAACTTTATTTCGAGTCTAGAGATAAAAAATAAGACCAAAGAGCCAGACCTGGAGCTGAAGCATGGCACGCTCTCTTGTCCGATCGGCAGAACCCTCAAGCAGACTCCGCATCCAAAGAGCGGAGAAGTGTATTGACCAGCAGTAGGGCTGTTCTAGAACACACTAAAAAGACAATTCCCATGCTTCTTGCAAGGTACTGCCAGGACAATTGATAGCAACTGATCTTAACTACAATGTCCTTACACTGAGATAGGTAGTAAGTTCCTCAACAGAAAGATCATCCTTGGCACTGGATTGCTGCTTCAATGCACTAAGATAGGTAGAAAGAGAATAGGCATGAAATAAATTATCCCTATACTAAGGGAAGAGAAATGAAACAAGAATACCAATGGTTCAGGTACAGTACAGGTAATTCAATTGAAAACATTAACAAACCATAGAGTGAGAATAGCAGCCTGATCCATGGTTGTTATTTGTTGACTTCCTTGTGAAACAAAGTCTTCAAATTTGACCTTATCGAGTCTCACATCATCATCCAAGGCAACATCCTGTTTCCATAAGTGAAAATTAACATTGGGAAAACAAAAACAAAAAAACAACACCTTGTATAGACAAGACAACCATAATCCATTTTTCACCTTTGGTAGATGAGCAGAATGTAGATGAAGACCTTCAGCAGCATTTTCACCTTTTGCTTTGCCTACATCAATGGTCAACTGAGCCATAGGGATCTTTTGAAATTTTGTCCTCCTCCCCATCTTACCTGGATCACATTTTCATTTGGATTTCATATATGTTTCATGAAAAATAAGTGGACTACAGGCCTTCTGTAGATTCAATATAAAATCAAGGCTTACCTGTGAGGTTCACACTGAGACCTATGCTCTTCAAACATGACTGCAAGTGAGTTTGTGCTTTCCCAACAAATCCATATGAAAGGTAGTGCCAGGCCACCTCTAGATCAAATATGGAATGAAGCAGGGGATTCTCTTTCAGGAAATCAGAGGATAGCAATTCCCCTACGACCTTTTCTGCCTTGGAATGAAGGGTTGGACTGGGCTCTTCAAGGAGTTGCTGCATTACCTGAATGCACCTCAAGCTCCAAATTCCATGAGTCTGCAAATAGAATTAGAAAATATTGAATACTTGATAAACTACATTGAATCTCAATCAAGCTGACTCCCCCCTTCTTGCTATCATTCAGATCTTAAAAACATATATAATAAGACTTTTCTCTTTTTAAATGGGCATATAAGGTTGCAGTTTGAGTGAAGACAGTTAGATCTTTGAGCTAATCAGCAACTGTAGAGGAAACCTAGGAAATCTAAGAAGTCACTGTATGCTAGAAAATCTAAAAAATTTACTTTAATGAAAATACTTTTCTCAGTTTCCCACCAACCCACAATGATTGGAAAAATGCTGAACTTCTCAATTTCAATCCAAGGTCCAGATAATACCCTATGAGGAAAAGCTTTCCTAATTTTCATTGTGACTTTAATTCCAAAAATAAATACCCTCTATTGTGCCCTTCTGAACCTGTCATCAATTACAGATATGTATGTGTCTTGAATGGACTATATGGAAGTAGTTTCAAAGACAATGAATCAGGAATGAAGACTTGTAGATTAAAACCAAAATTAGCACAAAAAAGACATAAAACTCTTCATCAACATATGACAACTATGAATTTTCCAGGAGGATGTATGGTGAGATAGAAGTTTGTATTGTGGCCATGGTTATCCTGCATTATTTTTAAACTTCGTTAATATGATCAACATATTGATTCCAAAGTTAACCCTTTCCCTGGTGTCACCGTAATTTTTACGTCGACATCCTCAAAGTGTTCAGATATCCCGGCCAGGGAAAGGGTTAAGGATAATCTCCAGAGACTCCTTCAAGAGATATCTGACACAACATGCAAAAAAAAAAGATATACCAGCAAGAAAATGCCCATTAGCCAATGACAGGATACACCATCTGTTCAAATTACAGTCTTCAGGAAATCAGCCTGGGGGTACAAAATCAACCAACTGGAGGAACTCACAGGGAGATGAGAAGTGAATGAGCCATCTATGAGGATAACCTTGGCTATCCACATAAGTTCAGGATATTTGGTCATGTGATGAATTCCATCTTCACAAGCAAGAAAAGACACTGAAGCCTCCAGCTTTGCATGATCTCTTATCTCCAAGGGTAAACACGATGGATCCAGTTGGGGACCCGTGTAATTTGCTTGAATGAATAATTGCAAGCAGGATATCCCAAGGCATAGAGTCCTCTGCCATGACCTGAAAAAAGAGGAAGTAACAGCCATGAAAGAAAAACCAAAACTAAATGGAGAGTCATGATGGACAATTTTGCAGGCATACTCTTCATCTTGATTCTGCAAGAACTCCTGTATCCTTCCACTGAAAACTGCCTCAATGACTGGAGCACACCAAGGATCACATATGATGTGCTGCATATTTCCTGTTTCAGAAGAAAAAGTTATACAAATTGATTAAAAAACACCTTTACCATTACATTTTTCTGTCTTTAAAGGTTTATGGATGAGATGGAATTGTTTCAAGCCAGCTTCAAGTACTAGTTTTGACGTTTCTATTGGACCAATCATACTGGTACATGAATGGAAAAGAGTGGAAGAGTGGAAAAGTTATCCTTGCAAGAAGGATGTCTACCAGAGTTCATTTCGAGTGAAAAGCGAATATTTGAGCTATTTTTGCTATAAATCATCTTCAGTCTACAATTTCCTCCATTCACGAGAAATTTGCGAGCAGATTCAGTGGCAAAAGACATCCCCCAGTCCCTGTCCAAAAGGTCTGGTCATTTGGAGGAAAATGTGAAGTGATTCCCTAGCAACTTGGATTAAACTTTGATACACATGCATCCAGCAAACTATATTGGAAATATCAAAATATCAGCCCTTGCTCAAGTCTCCATTCGGCTTTTTAATGAGAAAGTTGGACAGGCCTACTTGGAAGAGTCTGGAAGGAAGAATCAACTTCAAGTAAGGACAACTCGTCATCAAAGGGATTAGCATGGACGGCTTCTTTGGCCATGATAAGAGCTCTCAAATTCTTTGGTCAACCCTTCTGCTTCCTGCACGTGACTCGCACACGGCTGAATACACACTCGTTCTTAGAGCGCAGACATCTTTGATAATACGTCACACTCCTACCGGCTACGCCTTTGCCCTCTCTGCACTTCCCAGATTGTGGATATGAATTTCCTACGATTTTGTGGCAAGAAAAAGTTGTCTGAGTGTAATCTGATTACTGATTACTTTCAGAGCGAAATAATCTGATTACCATAACGTTCCTTTGCCTTACTTTCGCCCTTAAGCTATCAAATAAGAATAAATACCTCCGCAAACACTGGAAATGGGCTATATTCCGACGGTAACTTTGGTCTAGGTCCATGCCTGAATACACTAGGGCCTAAATACATCTTCCTTTCTCCCTCCCCCGAGAAAATTTGGAAAAATTCTAGCTCCCATTTGTGCCACATGGCCTACACATTTAGGTGGAATCCTGGCAACAAAAAAAAACTTTCCAAACAGTGTTCTTCCCAGTTACATTCATGTCAACTATGTACACAAAACGATATTGCTTTAATACCAAAAAAAGATATGTCATCATTTCGTAGGCTACCCTCTTCTGTCATTGTCATACATTAGGATCAAATTCATATAATGTAAGTGAAAAGAAAAACGTCAGTCAGGACAGTCTTAGGCTTGTGAAATTTATGTCTGTGCTTAAATGCATTTGTTTTTTTTTTGCTTTTTTGCTTCCAGGTCAAGGCCCAGGAAGGCCACACATTCTTACAGTCTAACAGAGCTGTTATTGATCTTCAAAGCATTTTTTACCATGAGATGGTGCTGCCCGCACTATGGATAATCCTCAGAACCTATGCACCTTACATAACTCTACCTATTGCAGCAGCTGTTGGTGTGATTGGATATCAGGTTGAGAAGAGAATTTCTGACAAGTAAGCCAACTTGCATTGCAGAAAATGTAGAAACCCAATTGAAAGTTTTGTTCTCCTAGGTGTCATTTCATGTTCCTTCTTAGCCTATGGCATAGACCAAATTTGGAGAGAAAAGCTTCTCATAATTGTTCATGCCAGTTTACAAAATCACCCTATTAAAGGGAAAGCCTTAAGAGCCTTGCCTTGTCTTGATGGTTCATCTTTCATTGCCAAATTTTCCTATTTAGTCTCTAACCAAATGCTAGGTTAGTTCTGCAATCCTCCAACCTTTAGTGGGTGAATTCCTAGTGATCGCAGACACTACATCAAGGGACAAGTAACAAGCTTAAGCCATTGGGCTCTCTTAAATACCTGAGGGCTTACCATGACTCCAGTGGTCCCTTGTTCATGCTTCCTGACAACCCTTTCTGGCCTCATATTTATATTATCATTATTTGCTTGAGCAGATCCTAGAGGTGTTTCTAAATCTTATTTTTTGCATTTGAATGATTATAGACATCAGAGTGGAGTGAGTTTTCAGTTGCACATGGCATCTAGTTTATAAATGCCTCCTAACAAGTGATCAGTATATCCAAGATTTGCCTTTGACAGATATAACTAACTTCTTACCTGTTGAGTGCATGGCTTTGGCTCAGTGGTAAAGGTTTCATGCTAGAGTGAAGGAAGTCTGGGTTCAACTCCATGATAAAATATGTCTCTTACCAGAGGATGAAACATGGAAGTAAAGTGTAATTCATGGAAAGTTTCCCAATATTTTTTTATTTATTTAATATGAAGCTGGGTCCCAAGAGAAAGAGTGAGAGGCAGAATAGGTCAAAGAAGTGGGTTGAATAGAATCTACTAATACAGTACTCATTTGGGAGAGACAACCACTGTCCTATTCCCATGTGCAGGCCTAAGCTTAGAGATGACAAAATTTCAGAGAGCCAGTTTCTTCTGAATTTGGTTTGCTCTTTGCCTGGGATTAGATCCATCTTCATTTCATGTAGAAAATAAATTTAAAATGAATAAAAACCACAAGGGAAAATATAAAACACATAGAAGATTACAAAAATTAAGTGGAAACAAGAAAATATAAAGTACAGGGAAAAAGCAGAAAATAGAAATTGAGACTGTGCAGCCATATAAAGCACAGTATGCACAAATAAAAATATAGTAATAGCAAAAGTACAATTTCAGAAATCAGAAAGAAATGAAAGAGAAGTAAAGATGGTCAATTTTGTCTTTGATTGCCTTTCATTTTTGGTTTAATTTTTTTCTCATTAGAAGCAGTTACACCATTGATGTACACCTTTGAAAATACATCTGAAACCAAACCTAAACCTTGGAATTGAAACCTGAGTCAAAGTGTTGGTTATTTAATGGCTGTCCTGGAGACTAGAAACATGGCTAGGCAAAAGCTGACGAGTTCCAAGGTTATTCTTCAGATTCTTCCAAAATGTAACCCAATTAAAACTGCTGGATTTTGGACAGTATTCTCTTTCAGATGTTTAGTTATGACTGAATTCCATATGGTAAGTACCATACAGCATATTTAAATCCAAACTTTTCCTTGGGACCTCTGCTGAAATAATGTTATGATGTAGGTAAAGATGAAGATAGAGTCTCATCAGTGCAAGCAGAATGTTCATCTTCTGCCCTGTTTTTGGATTAAATTTGTCCCTCTCAATAAGAGCACTTGTATCAGTTGCATGCAATGACATCTTGCTGATGGATGGTTAATTGGTTGATTGGGTTTTTCATGCCTCACTTTCACATACTTTTCAGAAGTTCCCTGGCTTATGATAAGGGAATTTCATATCTGGCCATTCTTGTTACTATATATGGCATAGTAAATATGATGATTTCAATTCATTCTCTCTTGCTTAGGAGTCTTGAGATCATCTGGGTTGAGCAATGCTTGTCAAAAATTACATAACCTATTGATTGACTCATTTTTATCAAGGACATCCAGGTTACTGACAGATTGAAGGGCCAAAGAGGGAAGTTAAGCAAAGAATATTTCTTAGAAACAATTGGAGTTAGAAACTTGTTCATAGTACAAAAGTAGGTAAAAACAGCAGCACAGGACACTCACAATTGGTCAATTTCTTGAAAAGGGAGGGGGGGGATAAACCTGACATTTCAGAGGTATAAAGCCTCCCTCTTCAGGGAGTGAAAACTACAAAAGTAGGAAATGGGAGATTGGGATGGAGATATGGGGATTCCAGGCTCAGGCCAGCTGGAGTCATTGGAGGCAAAGCTGAGACTGTTACACAGGCGTGTCCAAAGTGAATGTTCACTGAGGCACTTTGTGGCTCACAGGCAGCATGTAGCTGCCTGTGAGCTGCATTTTGGGCATCCCTGCTCTTGCACCTGTAATTGGCATAGTTTGCCTTGACATTGAAGTAATTGCAGGATATAGCTAGCCCATGTGTTCAATTGCAATAGTTGATAATGGAACATCATTTTCCCAGGGCAAAATGACATCCAGTGAGCTGGAGTTTTTCCTGTGCTTTTTTAAATTTGAATAATGCCTACTATATTTTCCATGAGGAAAAATGCCTATTTTACGTCATTTTATGTCCAGGTACACACCATATCAGGAAAGCATCCAGGAAGTCAGAGACGATCGTATCCTGAAAGAAGCAAAGGACCCATTGCACTATGAAAGTCTCAAAGAGAGGAAGTTTGTTCCAAAGACTGTTTTTGAAACCAACAAGTCACCATCTTTGGAAAAGAAGAAATGATCATCATTCTGTGCCTTTTCTGTGTCCAATTGCAATGGTTTTCCCTATGAGATAACATTTATTGCATCTAGCCTAATGAGTTCAAGCATTGCCATTTGTATTTTGAAAAATTATCATATTGTAGTAAATAAAAATCTAGTTCAGCTTTAGTTGAATCAGGAGTGATTTATTTATCAACAATGCATGCATAATGGTTCTTCCTTTTGTCAACAATTATTACTACCTCAAATTGTCACTTGACAATGAAGATAATCTCTGATGTTGGTAACAAGTCTCAATGCCAAGGGAGCTGAAATTGATATTCATCAATTTCAGTGATGAAGTTCATCAATGAGATAATAATTAGATATTTTCTCTCTTTTCATATTGAGGACATGGAAATTCCCTGCTCATTTGGAGTACCAGGTTGGATGAATTGATTTTAGATGGAACCTGTACCAGCAGAGCACTCTTCTGAGATGATTTATCAGAAGAACTTTATTAGTCCCATGCTGTGCTTAATAGCTTATCCATCCTGTAGGTGAATATTGTTGTGATGCCATTTAGTTAATTTTGGTGCTTATTTTTCTGAAAAGTTTAAGGTAAGATACCAGTAAACAAATTGGATGTGACTGAATATTATCATTCTGATTACAACTTAAGGATCAAACTTATCTTTTATTTGAACTATAAAAATGAACCTCAGTGAAACAATTCATGAATAATTACTGCTAAATGAAAGTATCTGCATAGATGCAGGGCTTATAGTTGGTCCTATATACTGTGCTATTAGGATGGTAACCAATGATCAAATATGATGTAATAAATTTGAAATAATATATTTGAACTAAAATGGGAGATTGATAAAATGATGAAAATGAAACTATTGTCTAAGTTAAATGTGAGTTGATATGGAAAAGCTTTGATCATTAAACATTTAATAATTGCTAGTAGGAGCTTACTCTATGGTTGGCATTATAACTCTGATAATATCAATATGTGGAGGTGTATAAGAAAGAAAAGCTCCCCAATCTCTACCTTTTGTAGCTCATCCATTCCAAACTTTTATCTTAGTTGCTCAGTATCCCCTGCTGCAATTATGAGAAATTGTACATCATTTGAAAGCTTGAGTTATCTATCATTCCAATGAAACACAATTAGCCACCAGCTCAAAATGAGATGAATAGAATTCAATGCATGAATATACCAACTTGCATCAGCACTATGAGTGGAGACGTTCTCTTTGGTGTTCTTAACATGTTAACATGCAGACTGCAACAAATGCTCTGCATGTAGACTGACCATTCTTGCCAATTGCTCACTTTAGCCTGCTCATGGGCTGTGAGTAAGGTGGTCTGAAATAGACTATATTCCTGTATAATTTCGCTCATAGTCCTCCAGCTATCAATATATATCTCCCTTGTTAGAAAGGAAAAAATGTCGGTGCTGTAAGCAATTTTCATTTGTTGAAAGGAACAATGTACCTTCATTTCTTGAGCTAGCACTATGCACATCTTCAAAAAGAAACACAAGTTGCTTTGAGCATCATTGCAGAAGGTATAATCATCAAGTAAATGGATTGGTGAAATGTTTGATTCATCTCCAGTCTTGATCAGCTCTGCTATATGATTCAGTAGGTGAGATGTCATCATTGTCACATGCTTTGGCCAAAACCCAAAGTTCATTTTGTCTTCCGTGAAAGCGTACAATGAAATCATATATGGCAATATAGTATTCATGATAATAGTAGCAGAGTCCAAACTGTGTGAGACGGGTTCTAAAGCGCTGCAGCTCTGCATGAACACGTTTTGGCTCCAGGAGGTATCCCCCAACTGGCCACACATAAACAATCAGATCCTCCAGGTATGATATGTGCACCATAGGCTGTAGGGTCCAGGAGAGAAAAAATTTGATGTGCATAGTAATGATGGTCTGTCACTTCAATCCTGTAAAATAAGGACACCTTGAATCTTACAGCTGCTGGGCCTCGCTGGGGTGGGTTTGCTTGGATTCTTTGAGGGAGGTAGAAAGCAACAGTAATGTTCCGGGGGCATTCAGGATCTCCTGTGTTTGCTACCCTCACCAGACCCACAGGACGTGTGGCTTCTATCACTTCTAGGTTTGAGTTGATTCCTAAAGAGAAAAGATCATGGAGTTACTCAAGATATTCTTGGCAGGTTACTGGTATATGTTGTTGTAAGCTTTTAAAAGCATTGGGGCTCCATAAAGAGAGTTCTCGTTAAAATTGTAGATTTATGAGTGACTTGCCATGTCTGTAAAGATGTAATGGCATGAGTCCTCTCCAGACTGACAGAGAAGTGAACTTGCAGTCATTAGGGGAGGATGTTGCAAACATGGCATCATAATAACGCCTCTTTTGGATCCCATAGGAATAAACTCGAAGAACATCAAATGAAGGACACTCCAACCCTAAATACAAGCAATGGTTGAAAAAGTTTTTCAGTAGGAATATTTGGCACTGAAATCTAACTGCAGACATTTATATCACCTGGTGGAATTCTGTGAAAATACCTCGACAGAGCTGCTTTTTCATCTGTGTAGTGATGACTGAAGGAGGTGGATCTGTTACAACTGATACTGAGGTCCTTCCTCTTCTGTTTCCCCTTGGAGGAAAGTGACTTGGTGTACTTCCATAAATCCAAAGTTCATATATACTCTCTTCTGCTGTCCAGGGCCTGAGCAATGGTGATTCAAGGCATCAATTATGTTGCAATAATCCAACTAATAAATTCTCATTCACTCACAGAGCATAAAGAGCCAAGTAGGTGTATCTGTCAAAGAAGGAATGCCCATGAAGTCGCAAGAGATTCATGAAGTCTTCTGATTTCTTTCTGACTACATCTTCTGTCATTTGCCACAGCAGAGACCTCCAAGACTGGACAAACACAGTGTGGCTCTCGAGACGATCAATTTGAATCTGAAAAGAGGTGGAATGTGAGAATCATGATTGCTCCAAATGATGATTACATTGATCCTTCTGACACAGGGATTCAGACTGCATGACTTAGTGGTCTTGGTGGTTCTGTGTTCAGTCCCAAGAGGGGAATGGAGATAGTGTAATCTATCAACTCCTGCAGCACTCCAGGATGCCTAGAAGCTTGTATTTGAGTCAAAAATGGGAAGCTGACATTCAGTTGGAGACCTGTCAGACAATGGAGCAGCACATTGCATCAAGATTGAGCAGAATCACAAGAAAGTCTGTTTAAGAAACTGTCACCTGGATCATTGGTCCCATTCAAGTATTCCTGTAGCTGATGATATGCTTGTAGTTGGGCCAGGAGTCTGGATTCAGTCACTACGACTGTGCTTGCCCAAGCAGTTGAAGGATATTTCCTCACCTCATAAACGTCAAGTGATGTAATGAGCTCATAAGAGAGGCACTGGCCTCCACAGGACTTTTTGATGGCATTGAGATTCTCCGACCAACCTCTACTTCCTTCTCTGCTTTATTTCAGAAAGTCGACGTCATCAGTTGGCTTTTTGTGGAATTCACTTCAAAAATATTCTCTAATATAAAAAGTAAAATGACAAACTTATTCAAACTCTGAAAGGCTGAACTCCATCCAAAGATTGCTGGGGGCTGAAGCTGACTTGAATCTTCATCGGCCTCATTTTTGAGCGAATGTAGGGAATCTGTATCGTTATCTTCTGCCATTCCGTCCTCGTACCAATAAGAGGAATTGGTATCCCAAATGCCTTCGAACATGGTGTTTTCAGAATTTTTTGTAACATCTTCCCATGAAACATTTGATGCTAAATCATGAAACGCGGCAGTGGAATCCAATAAAGAGGCATCTGGGTTTTCCAACTCCCTATCGGGTGATGTTGACTGAAGGTCATATTCATTAGGAATGAAATTAGGTTGGAGGCTTTCTGTCTCTCGTCCAAAGCTTGAATTCACGTTCTGAAAAGCACCTTGGGAGAGTGTGATTGGATCTGTTTCTTGAGATTCCTCTGAAACGGAATGAGAGTCGATTCCCTCAGTCGTGTTTGGGTCCGGGGCTGGGGTTGAGTTACCTTTCACTTCAGTCGGCAAGGGTGAGGATTCCTGGATGGGATTATTGAATGGGATGGGTCTGATGAGACTTCGACTTGGCGGCGGCGGCTTCTTAGAAGCAGCACCGTCGTGCCAAACTTTTCGACCTCTCTCACTCACAAGCAGGAAGGAAGAAATGAATACCAACGTTGCGAGCCAAGTCAATTTCCACATCACAGGCACCATTTCCGCGGTGTATGTCCACTTCTCTACCACTTCATTCCAGGCTCACATTTCCGGGGCTTTTTTCACAATTCTATCACCCGGGACGAGACCCCTAAAGTAGATGGATCCGTGACGCAGCGGTCTTCGTATAAACAGTGTAGAGGATCTGGCATTTCTCAAACTTCGTCCTTATAATGTCTTCCTCTATCCGACTTTCTGTCTTCCCCGGTTGTCCATGTTTGACATCAGTACTAGCTCTTTGAGCCTCGTCCAGCCTCATTCAAAGTCCAAATTGGTAACTTTCATATTGAGGAGAAAAGAGCGAATGAGCAGACCTCGGGGGAAAGACTGTCTTCTACTGGTTTGTCGTGAGTTTTAATTACAAATTTTTCATATAAATTATTTATTTGCAAGGGTAGGTAGGCATTGTAGGAGTAAACGGAGCAATTTCAAGGAAAATAGCAGGGAACAGCAACTCGATTTCAGTTCATTCAATACTTTTCCCTTCTGTGCACTAAATGTCTCCCTTGGGGAGACCTATCCTCAGTTTAAAAATTATTTCCATGGATCATTGACGCTTGGGAGGGCATCGATCGTCACGTGACTTCCCTTTCCCAAATTGAATTCTCAGGAGTCAAGCCATAAAATTCTCAAGAGGATTGGGGTGATGGAGCACAGAAACTGCTTTAATCTCTGGGCCATTACCCAAAGCTTCGAGAAGAGCTATGTCATGCTCTTCCGTCTAACGGTATAGGGCGTCAGATATGGTTGAATGAAGCCCGAAGATGATCTCACAATCACTTCAAGTCCTTTCTCTCTTCACACCAGAGAGGATTGTCGTATTGCCTCAGAGTTTCGATCGAATTAGACGAGCCTTTGCTCCAGGGTTGCCAGAACATCAGAACAATATTAACGTATCCTGGTAAAATGTATGCTACTTGTGACAAAATCGATGACCGTATTCAAGGTATTTTTTTACTTAAAAAAAGTGAAATGAAGTATAAAAATAATAATACACGCCGTTGCGTGTATTTAAATAGAGCATCTCTTATATACAAGATACAAGTATAAAAATGACTCTCTGACTGCCCAGTATTTCAAAAAAACATGCAGAATTTTATTTTGCTGGGTCTAATACAAGTTGCATTTCGAAAATACTCCCCAAGCACAAGAATGGCATGGAATACAGCGCACGTGTTTACTTCACTCCTGGGAGACGACGGGCTCCAGTCGAACCTCATTAACAAGAATTCGGGGAAACTGCTGATTCAATTCGTGTTGAAAGTAAAGTAACAATAATTCAGTTCCGACGGGGACACGTGAAACAGTTCATGTTATCGGTACTGCACTTTTGACACGTATTAGGGTTAACACGACCTGAATTTGCGGTCTCCCCGAAACCATGTTAACGAGGTTTGACAGCATATATAACCAGAAATGTGATCATCTTCTGTGTTTTTATATTTCATTAATCTATGTCTGTTTTACTCCATGGTGGAGTAAAGCCAGACTGGAAGAAGACGACAGAGGTGTCTGATAGTGCCAAAGAGAAATGAGATCTTTTCGTCAACATTTTCAATCGGGCGCCTGCGCACTGCTGGTATGTGACCAAATTGTGGTAACAGACTGCCTCCCCAAGAGACACGGACGCACATGCCGGGAGATGGAGTGGACCAGAAGCCGAAAGGCGCGCGTACGATGGAAGAAGATGGCCTTTGTCGACCGGTGAAGGGGAACTCGCGTGACGGACACGCCGAAGATCCAACGGGAGAGCGAAAACGAGAAAACGGTGTGAAGGCAGCGAACGGTGCCGATGGAAAACGAGAATGACCGAAAGGGATAGTGAAAGTGAAGAGGGGATGACCGCCAAAGAGGGAGGATCAGGCTAGCTAATTAGTTTCCCTTTCATCAAGCTCGAGAAGAATCCTCACCCTGGAAATACCCGCTAGATTTTGCAACAAGTCCTACGCACTGAGTTCATTGGACCCAGCATCCAATTCATACATAACGGGAACGCAAAAAATGAAGAATATGGTGAAACGAGCCCACACCCGCGTCCCGCAGGTAAGAAAATTTCAACAGACGAAGAACTCAGTTTTAATTTCTTATTAGCAATAAGAGAAAATAAAATTAATAATCAGATGGTGAGTACGTCGTTGAGGTCCGAAAGACTGCATAGTCCAATCTAAGAGAGAGCGCTAAAGAAGTGGCATCGCGGGAAAAAATTTAGCAACGTTTAAATTAACCAATCAAGCGTGTTGTTGCTCAGAAATTGAATGATGATCCAAGATTAAACGTTTGCAGAAAAGCCAGCAGCTGCCTCAAAGGTTTCCAAACGAAAGAAGTGTGCGAAGTATTTGGTTCACTGATGAGCAGACGTTTACAGTAGCCACACCAATCAACTCGCAGAATGATCGCGTTTATTCCGGAGCCAACCGCAAGAATGACATTGCTGCAGGCAGACTCATTCGCGAACATGAACATTTTAGTCGCAGCGTGATGGTTTCTGTCGGCGTCTCGCGAATGGTAAGACCAGCGTGGTTTTCATCGAGCCAGGAGCTAAAGTCAACAACCTTTACTACTGCCAACGTGTTCTTGGTGATGGATTGTTGCCTGATATCCGAGCAAGAAGTCTTCGACATAACTGGACGCTTCGACAAGATGTTGCTCCATCGCACACGGCCACCCCAGTAGCACCCAAATATTGAATCAATGTCGACTGCCAAGGAATATACATATTGGTCTGGTATTGGCATCCATCTTGGACCATTATTTGGATTACTACCCAGAAAAACATCGGGCCAATAATAGCGTTAATATTTCCCCTAAATTCTTTATCCAGTGAAATTCCTAAGGTGAAAGCATTTCTATGTGCAGTACTAGTACGGTCTGTACCAGTACAACCCCTTGCCCATGCACATGTCTGTCCCGCGAATGGGCAGGGGACACAGAACAGTACAGGGGTTAACCCTTTCGTGCATGAATTTTTAAAACAAAACAAAAATTTGCCATTCATGGTTTAACGTTTAAGGAAGTACTCTGCCGTAGTAGTCGAATGTTCTACTGTTAGAAAGCAACACTGAACAGATTGTGTCCTTGAGTTGACTGCATGCACCAAAAGTTTCGAGGTATAAGCACCATGGCTGAAAACTCATACTTATCGCCAAAAACTTTGTTGTCCACTACAGTGGATACCATGCACGAAAGGGTTAATCTTTCCCAGGTTGTACTCATTGTAGAACTTTTCAGTAGGTCCACACCTCACTGTACTACGGAGGACCTGCGAATGCCATCTCTCATTTCCTTCATTTGTCCCCAGGATGACGGAAGGGATGACTGAGCCCGCAGCTTTTATTTTAAGTTTTTTTCGTAAGGTTTCTTATATGGAATATTTGCTTCTTTATGGCCTGGGCTCCATGATTCTGTCTCGAATTTGCGGATAAAAAATTAAGATAGAATGTCCGAGTTTATTGATTGCTATAATGAGGCTAGGCGAGAGATATGACGAGGTACTGAACACTCCCGTGAGGGACAATTACAGGGAAGGAGGGAAGGCCACTTCTGTGTATTTTGCTAAAAGTAAGACCTATACCTCCATCTAGTGGCCTGAACTTCAACATTTCTCAAAAATGTCCGACGTCTTGCACATTGGATCATCGCGTCAGTCCAATATTGGATCGATGATGGAATGGCAACATTGGGGGAGCCAATATTTTACCTATATTGGCAATATAGTCCAATATGTAGCCAACGTACCCAATATCTGTCCAGCATTGAGCCAATATCTGGTGCTACTGGGGTGGGGATATAGCCTCCACAATCCAGAAATACTGATCCCTATCACCCTATCTTCACCCTATCAAGACCCAATTGGAACCAGGCCTCCTCCACGATTAACAGGAGTCTCCTAGGAATGTTTAACCTGTTTACATAAAAGTACAGGGGTCTAAAATTAACGAGTCACTACCTGATCCCACTGAAATAGCGGCTACATAATTGCCATCTGGCATCAGCTGTGGGAAGCTTTTTGTTCAAATAAATAAGATAGATGTCTCATCCTGAGACATGTCAAAAATTGTTGGCTGCCGCCCTAGTCCCGATGTAGGGCTTACCAGGGGCGAATCCGGGGGAGGGGGGGGGGGGGACCGCCCCCCTATGGCCAGATTACTATTCTATTTTTCCCCGTTCTTTTTAAATAGCTTTTACATTAATTTTTCTTGGATCCTGTGAAATAGATATTCAAGTTTTTACCCCAGACGAGAAGTGAAAAAGGCGATAGAGCTGGGAGTGGTGGAAGGCAGGGGGGGGGGGAGTCTGCATGAACTATGGAACCGCCCCCCCCCCCCTATGTAAAATTTCTGTATCCGCCTCTGGGGCTTACATGGACCAGCCACTGCGATGTGGGCCCACGTTCCCCCACTCGCAGCCAACGTGGGTCCGACGTTGCGTGCTACCTGGTATATTTACTTTCGGAGGGCAGAAATGGAAGTGAAATTGGGGAATATAAATCTAAACTAGGTAATAGGCCGATTTAATTCAATCTGGAGCTGAATTCCGTGTGAATAAATGGTAAAAGAAGGTCAAATATATTGCATTAAAATGAAAAAGGCTAATGTAAAAAATAACTAGATTATTTAATTACTCGTATAAATCTAATCACCTACGTTTCTCGTGGTCTGAAAATAAAATTTCGAACGAGGATGTCAGGCTTACCTTTTTATTGATTATTGCTTTGAGTTTGGTAAAAAGTGATGTTTCGTGTAAGCGGTTGCTTCTCATTGCATTAACTTAGTAATGCGCACAAGTGTAAACTTCATTTAATTCATTACTAACCCATTGAAATCATCAATTGCTTCTAAGGCTATTATTTATTGCATAATCGAATGGCTTTCCCCAAACGATCTCATCGAGTTCTTCTGTTCAATTTTCCCGATGAAATTTTCTGTTGCGTTGAGAGAATGATTCATGTCATGGCTGCATGTTATGGAGTTGGAGTTGTTCCTGTCGGATTTTCCAGGGACTTGTAGACGAGGGGAGTCTCATATGTGAAACTCAGGGTAACATGTTTATTATGGAGAATCGTTCCATTTGGGAAATAAATTCAAGAAAGTGAATCCAGCACGGACCGCACTGGAACCATCCAGTTCCTTCTCGATTCATTTTGAGAATAAGGCAACGAATGCACATGATTGAAAGAAGTAAAATTCTCCACTAATGGAAAACTTAATTCGAGCAAGAAAATATTACACATGGTTTATGTTTATCTTCAAGAAAGGAACGCAGAAAGTTTTAAGAGTTCATCTTGGTAATGTTTTTGTCTATTGTCTGTCTAGCCGAGAAAAATCATGCTGACAAGGGCAAATCGCTGAGGCGACACAAGGACAAATGCGTAAAAACGAAGTTACCCTTGAATCTGATGCTTCACATGAGTGAGACAGTGAATCAGTGGAAGAGCTTTTCTGTCTCAAGGTCACTGTGAATCCTCTTCGTCCACTTCCTCCTCCTCCTCATCTTCCTCTTCCTCCTCTCCCTCCTCTTCCTCATCCATAATCATGAGGCCCTGCCTCTTTCTTTGCACTTGTCGAAGTGGAGCTTTTTAGCTTCAAGGCTTTGCCTTGCAGTGGCGTAGTAGCGGCGGGAAGGGGGGGGGGGGAAGACAACAGAGAGGGCACGTGCCCCACTGTTCAAAAAATGAAGAAAAAGTAAGAAAGGAATCACACAGGAAATGCGCAATAACTATGTCCCAGAATATCGCCCTCTCATACTCTTTTCATCCATGCCACGTACTTGCCTTGGCCCGCGTATGCATTTTTAACATTTTTGTCTGATTTTATGCAACATATATTATTTAGATCTTGCACGGTGGATCACCATCTTCGTAGAGTTGCTCAAAACTGATGATTCGTGAAGAGATTGAGATATATGCTTCTCACTATTGGTCTCTATGTCAGATCGCAGAAACTCGGCATTTGCATCGCGTTCAACAATTGAAGCTCGTATGGGAGTCAACCGAGAATTAGAACCACGACAAATATAGTACTGTCAAAGATGACCTGTCCGACACCCTCGGGTACTTGAAGAACGAGGGCGTCGGCGCCGTTGTGTCGAGATGCATCGTGCTCTTGACAATGGCGACTTCACTGGCTCCTGGGTAGCAATGCCTATTTCCGGCGTCTGAAGGTACGGAAGGCAAGAATCACAATTATTCTCGTGTCAGTCCTTGTCATAGTGACTGCGCTTCTAGTCCTCTAATCTAGCCCAATGAATCTATCAGCTGATGATTAATGTCTGGGCACGTTTCTTTGTCACCAAAGTCTTCTTTCCAATATTTTAAAGATGTGATCCCGCAATATACTTACTCTGTCTTTGATTTTTGTCCTTTTTTTTTAAAGCAATTCATGGCAGCCTGCCATACACATACATGTCACCCCAGTGCTTCATAGACAAATCAATCCTGTCTCTCTTGTTCAGATCGGTTTAATACTCGATATACTCTTATGATTTAGTCGTTCTAGAGCAGGAACTCGATATGTGACTTTCCGTACCGCAAAGACGAGAGATCAATTGGCAGGCCTACCTTGCTTGATAATCCCGGTTGAGTTGTCTGTTATAAGGAATCTTTTGGATTGTTAATTTTTAGCACTTTTTGGAACTTCCCATGCTCCGTGAAGATTTGAAATCTCTAGAAGAATTCCCTAAGAGAGAGATGAAGCCACGATATATATATATATATATATATATATATTTTTAGGGACTTGAACCTATTTTGATT